AGGAAGCTGGTGCCAGGGGGGACGGGGCCAGGAGAGGAAGGGGAAGGTTTAAAATGGCCGTGGGGGGGAGACCGACCCCCAAGGGCCGCAGACCCTGGGGCGGGGACACCGTGGTGCATGGTCCCGGTGGAGCCTGGTGCTCGCCGTGTGGCCTTGAGCTGCTGCAGCGAGTGACTCTGCGGATCCTGCCCGCAAGGCGTGAGCAGGCCTGGCCCCGGGCTGCTGTCCCTGAGCCGGGCTGGGAAATCCACAAGGCTTCAGGCTGCCCAGGCAGCAGGCACGAGACAAAGCTGGATCGTGGCCACTCAGGGACTCTCCGGGGGGACTCGGACGTGCAGCTCCGCTGTGCGGGCAAGCGGCAGCCGTGGCGTCCAGCGCGTGAGAGCGAGGCCAGGCCAGGAAACAGTCTGGGGAAAGCTCCTTGGCCCCATGCTCCAGAGCAGGCTGCCGGCTCCGGCACTACTTGGCTGCTGTCCCTCTGAGTGCACCGCTCGTCCACCGCTCTCCCGGGGGGCTGCCTGCAGCCGGGCTTCTTGGCGACAGCCGCCCTGCAGAACGGGGAGCGGGCGCGTTGCAGTTCTTGGGCTGGGCTTAGTCTGTTTTGGAGGCTGTAACTTAACTGCTGGATTGCCCTTGCCTTTCAGTCCCATCTCGCCGGACGATGTCTGAGGGCCAAACCCCCGCAGCTGCCCCAGAGAGCCAGGAGCAGCAGGTAACTGCCCCCACAGCACATGGGAGATCCTGAGCTGCGTTCCTACCGATCGAGGGAGGCTGCTTAGTCCTTCACCAGTACCATAGCATGCAGCCCTTACCCTAGTGTAGCAATGCAGGGAATGCTTTCTTAGGCCTGAACCAGCACCAAGCTATCGGAGCTAGTTCTTACCACTTGTCTTGCCACCACTGCTTGGGCATGAGTCTTGTGGCCGTTCTCTGCTTGGGGAAAGGCTCCTAGAGCTGCCTGATGCAAGGTTACCCCACAGCATGCTCTAGGTGAACATCTAGGCAACTTGTACTATAACCTGCCCCTGGTCTGGCAGTAGCATGCCATGCAAGCTTATGGCTGGGGATGTGTGAAGCACCGTTACTAGTTCTTTGTGCTACCCTAGAAGAGGAGATGCAGGACTGACCTGCTGAAGGGCAGCTGACTGAGTGTGGTGAGAGGTATCCTGTTTGTGGGAGAGGGAAGCACCCCACCGTTCCAGTTCAGGACTTCAGTGCTGCTTTGGGGGAGTTCCTAGCAGTATGGCTTACAATATCTGGGGAAGGTGTTTGTCAAGCTCATTTTTGTGCCTAAAGCTTGGTGACGGCTAGGTACCTGGAAGGCTGCTAGGTACCTGGAAGGCTGCTAGGTACCTGGAAGGCTGCCTAACCGTTACTGGAAAGACTTTCAAGGGAGAGGATCTATGGTGATGAAATGTGTTCCCTATAGTGAGAGGCCTGAAAAAGGACTGACTCTGGTTTGGACTGTCCCTTCATTTACATGGCTGCTCCTCTGCCTTGTTAGAACACAGCAAGTCAAGTGGCCGGTCTGCCCTTGTTCAAATCGACTTATGACATGGTCTCCTCTGCCCTGGCCTCTGCCAAAGAAACTCACCCGTCAATCAAATATGTGTGTGAGGCGGCAGAGAAAGGAGTGACTGCCATTGCTGGCGCTGCTGTCACTGGAGCGTCTCTGGCTGTGACTGTGATGGAGCCTCTGTGTGAGTAAGCCATGGGCTGGCATTGCCCTTGCCTCTTGTAAGGCAGAGGGAGACCAAGGATGTGGTGGTGGGTAGTTTTGTTTTTTTGGGGGGGGGAAGCACCTCTCAGCTAGAGTTCTGGACTTCAGTGCTGCTTTGGGGGTGTTACTCTAGAAATAAGCCATAACTCAGTAATAAGTGCATACACCAGCAGCTTCTGGAAGGGTTGCTGGACAAATAATACTCTAGACTCTGTCACTGTAGCGCACACACCCTAGTGTGGTTCACTGTCCCATGCAGTGGCACTTAGACCACTTACAGCGAGAGATAAGAACAAGGGAGTGCTACTGCCCAGGCTGAGAGCATACCAAGCCTATAGAGTAATACTGCCCTCCCACCAGGAGATCATTTGCACAACTCAAACTAGCAATGCAGAATATTGCTCTTTTCTCTGCGTCCAGCACAGAGGTTGTCTAGAGCACTGAATGCCATGACCAGGACACCAAATCTGGTGTGGCCAGGAAGCCCCTGTTAGCAGCCACCTTCAACTCTTCCCAATTCTCTCTCCCCAGTCCACTGCTGCAAAAGCTGAGTGGTGTGGGGTGCGCTAAGGTCCTGCATACCTGGGGTGTGGGTCCTGCATACCTGGGGGGGGGGGTGTTTTGGAGAAGAGCAGGCAGTATGGAGTGGGCTGCCTATTGGGGAAGGGATGGAGGGGAGGTTAAAGGCCAGACTTTAAAACTGCTGAACACCCACATCTGGGCCTTTCAAAATTGCTCAGCCGCTCCCACTGAGAACAGTCAGAGCAGTTGAGCACTGAGCACTTCTAAACATCCTATCCTGGCTGCATGTCTCCAGCAAGGCTCACTCTGGTCCTTGCTGTACTGGTATGGACACCTCTGGCTTCCAGCATCACCCCCTGTTCAAGTGCTAATTCCTCAGCCTGCCAGCGGAGCCACCCCTCCTTGCAAACGCAGGCATGATGCCAAGAGTGCTTGACACCTGAGCTGCTGAAGGAGAACGCCCCCCTCTCTTGCTCTGAAGACTGCTCCTCACACCCCTCCTGGCTTTGCAGCTTGCAGAGGATCTTGACCTAACTGTCTGTATCCATTGTCTTGGACTCGCCGTTTGAGCCGATGGCTTCAGAACTTGTGTTCTGTGGGGAAACTGCTTCCTTTTCCTTCCAATAAAGATGCATCATTGCAGGAAAAGTCCATTTCCCACAAAACAATTCTCAGAAACATTGAAATTATTAGAGACTAACCGAAGTGTGGTGGTGGTTTGAGTAGAACAGCAAACTTTAAAATCTAAAATACACCCAGTGCATCTCCCTGTTTCTTAACTTGACAAAACATGTCCTGCAAAATACTCTGACTTGTCAGCTGGGTAAAACCCTGCTTTTTCAGTGTCTGAAACGACTAATTCTCTAGCGCATGCTGGTCTGTAACCCTGGAGAGTCTGTGCTTAATATCTTGTAGCACCAGTGGCAAATGAGGATAGTTGCCAGAGCCTGGAGACGCTGCCAATCCAAGAGCCAGCTGACAAGGTAATGACCTCTCTTGAGTGGGAACATTTTGTCAATATTCTAGAGTTAGCTCAGAGCTGCCCTCTTTCCCCCCCAATCTTCTTCAGTCTAGTTAGAAGCTGATCATTTGCAGAGAATTACTCTTTTCTAGGCAGAACAGGCTCTTCTCACCCCTGCCCTTTCAGGAGCTAGTTAGAGCTAGACATAGAATTCACAATTAGCTTAGTGCAAACGAGCTCTTACTGTTGGCATTTGCTATAAATAATGTTCTTTGACCATTTATTTGAAATTGCATAAAGATTGTTACCTATGAAGTTAAAGTTGGCCAGCAAAGACCATCTAAAGCCAAAGCGATAGGACTCCTGCAGGTTTATGATGGATGAAGGCTTGAAGCTTCTCAAATTTTTATTTGTTACCTTTTTGTATCTCAACATTTCTGTTCTTAGCTGGGAGATGTAAAATTTGAGGGGGAAGGGGAATAAATCCTGAAGGGTTTTGCTGTTCATGCAAAACACTAAACAGACTTTTTAAAGAAACAAACAACTCTCCACTGCACAACTTCTGTTCTCTTGCCCCTTGCAGAGATTGACTCGCTTATCAAGCCAGATGAGACTGAATTTCTCATCAGGTCTCAATTTAAAAAAAAAAAAATCTGAAACTCCTCAATCCTCTTGGGCAAAAGCTGTCAAAGGGCACAAGCCCATATTAGCCTCTGAACACTTCTTACATGTAGCCTATATGATGGATTCAATATGAAAGCTGTCCTAGCTATGTGTATAGGTCAGATGGTGTATTTATCATCCCTGAGCAATTGAGTGTCTGACTAGTTCCAAGCTCTCTGAAGATACTGAAGCTTAATGTGAAATTTGCTCTGAACCAATATTCACTAGCTGCTGTTTCCTGCTGCTAAAATTCTCCAAGAATATGACTGGAGGGGGCGGGGTCAAAGACTTAAATCCACTAAAACTCATAAAAGATGCTCCCTGTTTGAGCAGGCAGAAGTAAAAGTCCCACTGAGTTAGTCACTTTAAGGCTACCTCTAGACTGGCCACATAAGACGGAATAGGCTTGCAAAGCAGGCAAGTCAGAATAGGGAAATCCGCGGGGAATTTAAATAAACATGTCCGACGCTTCTTTTCCGGCTTGGGGAAAAGCCGGAAAAGAGCGTCTAGACTAGCGCGATCCTCCGGAATAAAGCTCTTTTCTGGAGGATCTCTTATTCCTTCAGGTAGGAATAAGAGATCCTCCGGAAAAGGGCTTTATTCCGGAGGATCGTGCCAGTCTAGACGCTCTTTTCTGGCTTTTCCCCAAGCCGGAAAACAGCAGACATGTTTATTTAAATCCCCCACGGATTTCCCTATTCTGACTTGCCTGCTTTGCAAGCCTATTCCGTCTTATGTGGCCAGTCTAGAGGTAGCCTTAAAGTGACTAACTCAGTGGGACTTTTACTTCTGCCTGCTCAAATGTCAAACCCCATTCGCAATCTCTAGAAACATAGCCCACTCATTCTGGGGCCCAAACTATCTCCCAGCTGGCTATAAATCCAGCATCTCCACAGATGGTAGAGTCTCCTCCAAGTTATGCCTCTGTAGTACACCACCAGCATAGGTGGAAACATCAAGTTGGTCTTAAACTCCTTTCTTCTCCCTAGGATCTCTTAGACACTGAGGAGGTGGATGCCAAGGATGCCGTGAACAACAGAATGACTGATGTGATAGATGTAACCAAGGAGACTCTCCAGGGCAGCGTGGAGACTATGAAATCAGCTATGACCAGCACAGCCATGGATTCCACAGTGTGTCAAATGGCTAGAAGAGGAGTGGAAGCTGTGCTGGAAAAATCAGAGGGTCTGATGGATCACTGTCTCCCCATCACAGATGAAGAACTAGGTCAGAACACGTGCGTGACAAACAGTCCATTTCATTTTGTCTCTTCCCTTCACTAAATGGCTTTCCTACAAGGAGTAGAAATAGGGAGCAAGGAAGATGTGATGCTCCAGCATCACTGTAGTAGCCTTGCTGAAGGCCCAGCCATTCTGTTACCTGCATCAGCAGTCAGACTGGATCAAGTTGGGCTTCTGGCAACAGCTGCCTCGTGTGAGGTTAATGAGGGATGTAACCTGGGCTCAGGCAAAATTGTTTCTATCCAGATACCTTCCATCCTATTGAGTCCCTAACCCTGAGGCAGGGAAGAGTGCACCGTATAGGGCCCCTGTTTCCAGGTACTGGTGGAGAGATGAGGCCAAACTCTGAGGTGGGCACAACTTTTAATTCCCCTCCCTGAGCTAGGCCTGCAAAGCCAAGGGTCGGCACTAGTGACTCCGTTCTGGCTCTGCCATTGAAGAAAAGGGCATGGCTTTTGGAAGCAGCAGGTGAACTAGGCTAAACTGCCATTTCTGAGGGGCTCTGAGCATCCCAGGGCACTCCAGAAAGCAGATGAAATAGCTCTGAGAGGGGGCATTGTCTCAATCTGTAGCAGGAAGCCATGCTGAAGAATGGAGAGTCTTCTGGACTGAAGCAAGAAGGAATGTTGAGGACAGCATGGCTTGCTTGACCCTAAAAGGTTTCCTGTTAGTGCTTAAAAGTAAGGGGCTGGTTCTGCACCATGGTTACTAATGGTCATGGGACAACCTTGCCTGGTAAAGTAACCATTGTTTTGCTCCCACTACATGAACCTGAAAGCTACGGCACATTCAAGATGTCAGTGCCATTTTCCTTCCTCTAGCTACGTGTGCAAATAGCAAACCGGGCGCCACTAGAATAACTGTCTAGGTCAACTTGTACTTCTGGGAGGGACAGACTTTCAACAAGTTAAACAATTACCATACAACCTTGCCTGGTAAAGTAACCATTGTTTTGCTCCCACTACATGAACCTGAAAGCTACGGCACATTCAAGATGTCAGTGCCATTTTCCTTCCTCTAGCTACGTGTGCAAATAGCAAACCGGGCGCCACTAGAATAACTGTCTAGGTCAACTTGTACTTCTGGGAGGGACAGACTTTCAACAAGTTAAACAATTACCATCCCTCCACAGTTTTTTAATTCTCCCCACCCCCCCATCCCCACCCCCAGACTCTATCTAAACCCTGGGTTAGCTTATGGATCTTCAACTCAGCAATTTCATGCCCTTCATCCAACAGGGTGACTAATCCTCTCCTTCCTTTCAGCTACGCTTCCTGTATCGGTGGAGGGCGCTGAAGGGCCTGCTGTCCAGCATCAGGGCTACTTTGTGCAGCTGGGCTCCTTGTCAGCTCAGCTCCGCCAACGTGCCTACCACCATTCCTTGGGCAAAGTGAGGCAGGCCAAGCAGTACATGCAGGAGAACTTCCTGCAGTTCCATGAAGTCCTAAGCCTGGTAGGAACCCAGTTTCCCCCCTCTTCTTGTTAAGCATTGTATCCAACCGCTACTTTGTGCAAAGTGCTCTCTGGCCTCACGAGGCACAATCTGGACAGGGTAGAGGGGAATACTACTAGTGCTTCTGTGTGCTGGAGCCTCTTGATGCTGGTGTTGCCATCAATTTATATAAAGGTTCAGATGGTCCTAAACTAAACATTCAAGGTGTTCTCCCAGCAGAGATTCATCCTGTGATCTGTACAATGTCCCCTTCCAGGTTGACTCCATCCGGCAGAATGTTGATCAGAAGCTTCAGGACAGCCAGCAGAAGCTGCACCGCATGTGGCTTGAGTGGAGCAGCAGGCCGTTGGAAGGCAGTGATGATGCACCTTCTCCAGAGCCAGAGGTACTGGGCTGACTGGAGAGCAGTTCTGGAGTGGGATGTAGCTGCAGAGAGCACACAGGCATAGCTCATGTGTCCTCTAAACCTTCCTTACAGCAGGTGGAATCGCAGACTCTGGCCATGTCTCAGAGCATCACTCAGCAGCTGCAGGACATCTGTCAGAGTCTGAAGGCCAGCATCCAGGGTGTCCCCTCCAGCATTGAGGACAAGGTGCAGCAAGTTCTCCAGAACTTAGAAGAGCTCCACAGTTCCTTCTTTACTGCCAAGTCCTTCCAGGACCTACCCAGTGCCTCCCAGAGCCAGGAGAAGATAAGCAAAACTCAAGAAATCATAGACGAGCTGCTTGAGTATGTAGAGTACAACACACCTTTCTCCTGGCTGGTAGGACCCTTCACCCCATCTGGCAGAGCCTATGTAACGCCAAAGGAAGAGGTGACCCAGAAGAAGACAGACTAGGAACCATGTTATATTGGTACCTAGCGAGGCCTTTATCCATTAGGTGCTTTCCTGGGGAGGAGTGGGGATGAACTTTATCTAGCTAACACCAGTATTAAAACTCAAACCCAGATTGCTTACAGGTGGCTGCCTTGAAAAAGCAAGAAAGTCCTTAAATGTGTTTGACTCTGGCTTCGCTTCCAGGCATCCCTGATAATCAAGAACAGTTGCATTGTAATAGACTGTCAAGCTTGTTAAAAGTAGGTTGCACCATATATTGTCTCTAGGAAGATTAGAGGAAAGTCTTTAACAGAAATAAAGCATTGTTCTGTCACACAGTGTCCCCAGTGTTGTGTTCTTCTCTCCCTCGCTGCACACTACACAATCACTGAACTATGATTCAGGCAATAGTGAGCTTTGTCCTAAGTGCTAGATTTAAAAGTCTCTCTGGCCTGGAGAAACCTCCAGCGCTCCTCTAGAACTGAAGAGGATGCTTCTATCTAACAGCAGGTCCTAGGAGACTAGTCTTAGTCATAGAAAAGCCAGTTGAGGTACCTGCAGGAACTGATGTGACTATTCTGTCTGAATCCTATAATGTTAGTCTTGGCTTGAACCCTGTTCTGGCACTAAAACTTGCACTACATGGGATGCAGACCACCACCCTACCCATCCTTGGGAAAGAGCCAGCTTCAATGGCTTCTCTACAAAGAGCCATCTCAGTAGCTGACTTGTATAATCCATGGCTCAATGCTTGTGGTACTTTAGAAACTGAAAGAGGCAGGAAATAAAGGTCGTCTTCCCCATTACATCTCCTGGCCTTCAGAAGCTTCTCAACTGAGCTGAGAACACAACATATGATGGCTGTTTTTGTGACCTTAATTTAGTCTTTAACCTTTCCCTAAAGAAA